CAATCCCTAAGATTGTTTTTTGTTTTTTTTAATAAGGAAAAGAAGAGATAAATATGCAAGGAGAAATAGCTGGATACTTTCCGAACAAATCTTGTATTGTGCAAAGAATAACCATTAATACAAACTGACTTTATGGAGAAGATTTTAGTCTATTCTGGTGCCTATCGTAGTCACTACTACTAGAGAAACCATGTGCCAGACATTAGTAATAAATGTTTAAATTTAAAATAATTCTCAAGACTTCCAGACTGAAATTCAATTCTGCTCTTTAAAAGAGGTGTCACAGTTGTTTAAAATGCTTGTTTTTGTCATAGGAAAATCCAACATGGTGCTTGAACAATATATTCGTAAAAAAAATAAATAAATATCTCATTCGTCAGTAACATTTAAAGACCTCATAGTATGCAAAATTCTCAAAGCAAACCTCTGCTAAACCGTTTTCCTGAACTTTGTCATATTGACCCCCTAGGAATGTTGTTTTCCTTCAAATTCTCAGTTTTTATGTCTGAAATAGTTTGCTTGATTTAGGCTTTCTGATTTTCCAAAAAAAGTGGTTAATTTCCCATTAATGGGGAAAATTTTTGTTTAGAACTAAAAAAAAAAAAAATTTCACTATTTTTTCATATTTTACCCCATGAAAAAATTTTAAGTCATTTATACCAGCCAATTTTACTTTTAAATGAAAGAACCTATTGTTTGCTTTCAGAAAATACCTACTTTCATGGGGTTCAGATCAAAAGTTCCCTTGATATTTTGTTCAGATGATAAGTCATTTTTCAATATTTTACCTTGTTTTTACCCCTATAAAAAGTATGAAAATCCATTTTTTCAGAGAAAATAAGCTGTGACAAAATGACTTTTCCCATTTTTGTGATGATTTTCACTTGGGATAGAAAATTTTTACCATAGCAAACCTGAATTGACTTTAAGTTTAGTGGGGCTATAGGAACACTCAACCAGCTGTGGTGCATTATTTGCTTAGAATTTTTAGCTTGACTTCATTTTTGTTTCCATGTTCATTTTTACATTCTACAACTGCTGTGCAAATAACATTATTCAGAAATAAAGAAATAGCCACCAATAGAATTTAAATTTGTATTCTAGCTTCTTAAGTTGTGCAACAGACAAAAAAAAAAAAAATTACATGAATAATGTCAATTTCGACAACTTTTAAAAGTTGACAAAGAATATTCTACATGCATTGAATGTCTATCATGAGAAGTTGAAATGAATATTAAACACTGAAAACTAAAACATTGTGTCTAGGTTGAGGTATCAGATAAAACTGAGTGCAGATTTCAATATTTTTTGCTCTCTTAATATATTTTTTGTGAATTTATCAAATTTGCAATGCCAAAAAATAAGTTTTAACAGATTCATGAAAAATATGAAATTGCAACATTGAAACTGATGTATAATTTACCAGTGGCAAATTAGATGGAGACAATTTATAGTATGCTTAAATTTAAGGACACCCCCCCTCTCCCCACTACGAAATTCATAGGTGCTACAAGAACTCAACAGAAAATGCCAGTGTTACTACAAAAGCTCTGCATCTAACCAACTCTTGTGTAACTTAATGTTCTATACCACTGACTTTATTGTGGGGGGGGGAACAGTTTTCTTTATTTTGGCATTAGAAATCATTAACACTTATGATTCTCTCCATTGATTAGACTCATCACAATTATGTGGTTTATTAAGATTTTCATCTTTAAAATTCACACATTTTAAAAGTTATTGGCTACTTTAGGATTTTCAGTAATAAATTACCAGGTAAATATCCAGAATAAGACCCTTAATTATTTTGAGAAACATAAAAAGAATTGTTCAGTTACTTTTATCTCCTCACGTTCAAAAAAAAAAAGGTGTTTTTTTTTTTAATTTTGTGATTAGCCAATCAAAATTAATGCTACAATGTTTAGCATTCCGATTGGCTGATCCCTAAAATGCAAGGTCACTTAAGGGGCAATAATTCAACATTTGTTGACCATTGCAAGAGTAGTTTATGGTTTGTTTTTTCAAATTCTAGGTTTAGCCTTTGTAGAAATCAAAATTACAATAATATTTATAAATTAATATTTTCATATACACAAAGTTGAATGAGAAAAATACTAAGGCACTTACTGTAGTGGCAGTAAATTCCTCTTGTCATAGACCAAATTGTTATTGGAATGAGTTCAATCTTCAGTTGATGCTCCACACACCTGGGGTCTAAGACAAAGAATGCTTTGGACAAATGCAATTTTGTTTCCTGAAAATAATGTGGATATATTTTGGAAGAACAAGAACCTTGACTTATATTTCTAAATGGCTATTCTCACATGAAGAATGATAAAGAAGCCTTATTAAATACTCAACTTTCAGTGGCAAACAGCTGAAAATGCAGGAGCCGTCCTTGTTCATAAGAGAAAAAACACAAAGTAAAATTCTCAATTATATATGAATCACTTAATTAGAATTAGAAATTTTTTAAAATAAATACAAATGATTCTCAGTTGATCTTAAAAATATATTTCTCCACTTCCTCCTCTTTCTCAGTGCACATAAAATAAACATAAAACAAACTTTGCTTATTTTTTTAAGTTGTAAAAGAAAAAGAAAAAAAGATTTATTGTAAATATGCTCTTCATTGTAATTTTAAGAATGAATTCTGGTCATCTGTAACTGAAATTAATTGACCAAGAAGTCATATCCAGGCAGCAGCTCTAAGTGACACTGAAATGGCTAAGATCATCAGTAAATGTTGAGGTCTTAGGAAAATGCAATTTCTGAATGGTCCATCATGAAATTCTTAACTACAACAACAGCAGACCAGGTACCATTTTCTAAATGTCATGCTAACTTCTTCAAATAGAAATGTTTGTTATTCACATTGAGTTTTGTACATGAAATTAATGGAAATTCATATGATTTGCAGTCGTGAAACTGCAATGACTGAAATTATCATGGTTAAGGGATGTGTGTTATGGCAAAATGGATATCAACTTAAAATGAGAAATCAGTTTGAATTCCAGTTGGATTTGTTACATTCACTTGGGGAAAGGTATGATTCTATTTCTTCTCCTCCAGCTATGGGTTAAATAGCAGGACAGACTGGCTTCTATAGCCTTGATTGACAAACATTCTACTACAGAAAGATACAGCAATCTACTGTGGGAAAATAATTTAAAGAGACATGATCACCCAAACATGTATGGCACTTAACTGACTGAAGGGGTTAAATCAAGTGTTGTATTGGGTGAGTATACAGGTTCCTCCATATTGAGAAAGGAAACAAAAAACCCACACAGCTGTGTGTATGGATACGAGTACTGTTTAGGCAAGTCCATTTTAAGCTTTCTATTTTAAACAAGAAAACTAACAGAAGACTTAACATATAATCACCAAAAATGATTTCTCAGAAATCTGTTTGAAGAACAGAGCAAACAAATAAAGATCAGTTTAAATGAAATTTGTAAATATTTCAGGATATAAGAGGTGGGAGGAAGTGATGAAAAAAAAAATTATTATATTAAAGTTTTTTTTTTTTTTAACAATGCCTGGTTAACTGTTTCACATATTGTGCCTTCTTCATCTCATGTTTTTCCCTGAGCTGAAGAGGAGTGATTATATTGAATCAATTCCAAGGTGTGTTGCTAAGAAGGTTGGTTCACTGTGTTGTGCCAGACAATTTTTCTTGCCAGAATCCGTCTTGCAGATTTATAAATCTAACATTTGTCTTTGCATTAAATACTGCGGTCATATCTGGTCTAGTGCTTCTGCTGTATATCTCAAGATCCTCTACAAAATCCAAAGAGTCTAATGTTATCAGTCATGACCTGGCATCTGTCACTTTTTGACTGTTGTGACATGGTATCCCGCTTTCTATATGCAATTTTCATATCAATTGTTCAAATGATCTCTCCTCTTTAGTACCTCAACCACATGAATTTAAGCATACTACTAGATTGAAAACTACCTCATCGTTTTACTATTGAAATAGCTAAATGCAACTGTAAGTTCTTTCCTAATAGGTTTTTTTTTTTTTTTCTTGCCTGTAGAACTTTTTTCCAGTTTCTTGCTTCCCTATCACCTATGATCTTCAAAAATTTAAATGCAACGTCAAACATCATCTTCTGCTTTCTTGATCCTATTCATTTATTGTTCCACCTCATCACTAACATCATCTCATTCTCTTTAACTCTCAGTAAGCCTTGGGGTGAAATGATTTAAAACACTTGAGACTTAGGTCAAACTATCCATTCCTCATAAATCATTCTCTTTCTCTTGATTAAAATGTTTGTTTTAGCAATAGAATAATTGAGCAAAGTAAGCTTATTGGCATTCTGACTTGTAATAAATATAACTTGCTTAGCAGAGAACAACTTCTGCTGTGGGGGGCAGAAGGATCAAACTATTTTTTCAAAGGTTTTCATGTCAAACAAAATTATCAGAAGAGCCACTGTGATAAATAAAATTTCAAAACCATCAACATTGGATTTAAAAAGGCTCCATAAATACACCACCAGATGTCCTTCAGGAGGGTGGCCAAGAGAATATGTGTTAGTTTAAAATGTGTTGCAGTCATCTTTTGGTCCTTAATTCAATCCATTGATCAGCTAGTGAAATCCACACACACAGATACAGTAAGAATGAACAAGAAACATCATCACAAGAGCAAAAATAACAATTCTGTATCTCCTATCAGCCAAAAATAAACACCTGAAGATGACTATAGTGGTTGGTTGCAATCTATAACCACCAAGTTATATTAAATAATAAATAAATTTATTAAAAATTTTCAAATTAAAAAAAATAAAAAAAAGAATGTTAAATAAGATTGATAGAAAATTTATTGGAAGACCTTCCAATCTTATTTCAAGGATAAAAATGACAAATAAGGGGAGGAAAGAAACAGTGGGGGGTGCATAAAAAAAAGAGGGGCAGGGGTCACTTCTTCTGTTGTTTGTATGTACAAGTGAAATGTTAAATGTGATGAATAATGAAGATGTAGTCTGTTAGGGGGTCACTATGTGTGGCTGATATGGGACCCGCTTATTGTTCTCATAACACTTATACAGCCATCTGGGACGCACAAATGTCAACTGGGGGTAATTGGTCAGAGCCTGTAAAAAGAAAAAAAAAAAAAAAAAAATGATAGACAAATGCATTTATCCATGTTAAAAAATGGAAGAGTAAGAAAATGGAAACTTGCAGCAGCAATGCTATTGTCCTTTATTGCATATACATAGCATTAAGAACTTAACTAGAAGATAGTTTGAGTAAATCAGTAAAATATTACATTAGAATTTTGTCACATGAAATTTAACATTTTAGCTTGTCATGACTGATTTGAGACAAACCTTACTAAGAGCTACAAAGGATAGGAAGTTGTGGAGACCCATGATCACCCACATCCTGAAGGGATACATTACATAGAACATGAATTTTATACTTTAAATCAAATAATGTTATCTATTGTTTGTTTTTTCCACTTTATAAAAAAAACAAATAGATATATAGATTAGAGTTCCATAAGATTTTTTTCAATTTAAATACAAATGCAATCTATAAAAATTCCCCAAATCCACATCTCTAGAGTTCTTTGTTTCAAAATTCAGATTTTATTTTATATTAGCTAAATGCCCATCCTACAAAAAAAAAAAAAAAAAAAAAAAAAAAAAGATAAGTTGCCATAGAAATTCTGTTACATAAGATTTCCCTGTAAACATTTTCATAGCTGCCCAATCATCATTCTCCAGCCTTGACAGTGTTCAAAAGTGTTTACACTGCCTTGTGAATGATGAATAGTTTTCTACCTTACAACCTCTTTCCTCACAAATGAAATGTTATGAGCCACTCACTACTCTATTGCTATTTACATGGAAGATTTTCAGGCAAACTACACTCCTTGCTTCCACCTATCCAGATCTTCACAGCTAGGACCTGCCATGCTGTATAAATGAAGTCAACTCATCCCTTTGTACTCCAGTGGTAAAAAGCAAGTTCAACTCAAACAGCTTCTTTCCTTGATGCATTGTGGAATGGACTCCAAAGAGGATTATTCCCCATTCACTACAAACTTAACCTCTTCAAGTCTAGGATCAACCACTATCTATCTTACATATCCTCATAGTATAAACCCTTACAACATCAACATTTAGTAACCATCTACCTTGAGTGGCTCTTGGACCTTATATCAAATGAATAGTAAAAATAGACATTTCTTTTCTAAACTTTCATTTGTCATTATTCTAAGACCTCATGAATTTCCTCCTCTGGACAGAGAAACATCGTGGACTGACCATGACAAACATTTGAATAATTTTCTAATATTTATAATAAATTAATTCAGCAACCTTACCGTTTTTTTCTCACTTGTTTAATTCAGTACAGTTTTAAGAAAATCTAATTAAACAGATTATTTTTATTTATTTAGATAATTCCATGGAATATCCTTGTGAGTAATAAATAGTTTTCTACTTTACAACCCCTGAAATGTTGCAAGCCACTCACTATTGTATTGATATTTACATGGTGGACAGATAATTCCATGGAATATTGCCTAATTTGTAGTAATGTGAAATATCAGATGACAACAATGCTTATTATAAGACCACTAGATTTTCTAACAACTGAATTTTGACAAGGCAGATACAAATACTTTCTATGCACACACACACACACACAAAAAAAAAAGAAAAAGATTTTGATAGAAATATTGCTTATATATTGCCAGTTTTAAAATTTGAATTTAAAAATAAATAACACAAAAATACATGTTATGCAAATTATATATTATTGCTTATGTTGCAAATGCCATTTGTTAGTAATATGTATAAAAGACTGGTAAATATTCATTACACATTAACAATATGGCCTGTTTTGATCTACAGTAAGGTAAGGAAACGAACAAAATTTAGCCTTAGGACAACTTATGGAAATTTAGACTATTTATGATCATGTTGCAAATATTCAGCTATAAAAATTTAGACTCAAAAGGTTTTCCAAGCCAGAAAACCCACCAAAATTAAGTCACTAGAAACTTAAAAGAAGCATGTCATTGTATATATAAGTACCTGCATATTGCTGGTCAAGCAGTTGAAAAAAGAAAAAGGGGGAAGTGAGCTGGGACAGAACTTTGGTTAAGAAAGCTTTGTTTATCCAGGCAGAATATCACTTCAACAGCAGAAACTCAACCTCACTTATAGAGTCCTTGCCAGGTTGAAAGAACAACTTGACTTTCTTTTTCAACCTATTTTTCAAAATTTCCTCTTGCATTTTCCATTCAAGTTTTTTTGTTAAAAATACCTCAAGAAGCACCTGAGTATTTTCTACCTGCGTAAAAGCATTTTTGGAGCACAATGTAATATTTGTGCAAATCTTTTGAAAACACTTATTCATTATTTCTCTGCATAGTTTATATTTGTTATTTGTGTTGCTTTTTGTTAAACACTTTCTCATTATTGGATAAGATTTTAAATAGTTTGGGTTCAAGTTCCTGTCAATTTTGTTACAGTACCATTTGCAGGTTCATTAAAAACAAAAAAAAATTCTTACAAGGCACAGACAGGATTATAATCACTTGCATTTTTGTGCTATTTTTATTCTGAAATGGTCAATAAAAAAAAGGTGTAAAGCCAATCCTAAGTAAAAGAAAAAAAGAATTTTAAACATAGCTGCACTGAATGATATTAAGTCATAGATTTATAAAGCAAGCAGCTGCTTTGATGTTTTCTCTTCAATATTATTCAATCAGAAACCAGTAACAACATCATGTTAGCCAATTACATAAGACTAAACAATTTTCTGTATGAGAACTCTTATAAATTGTCTTATGCTTCATGATAAATTAGAATATTTACCAACTAGTGAGGATTTTTCTCCACTGGAGTTGCATATTTGCAGAAGGCAACATTATCTACACGTTTTACAAAGTCAACTCAGTTAAGCAGTCAAATATAGTCAGATTGTTATTACTTCATCTATGTATTGTTTCTATATTATCAAGTTATATTTTTTTAAGTTGTCTGAATTTTTTAAATGAATTATTTTCATGAACATTTTTTAACCTTTCATTTTATTATTGCTTTTAATCACAACATTTAATTACCAAAGTAAAGAACCAGATTCAGAAATGAAGACTATAAAGACTGGAGAGTTTTGATAAAAAGCAAAAAAGATTAAAAAAAAAAAAAAAAAAAAAAAAAAAAAAATTGAAAAAATTAAAATATTTTTTACTTTGAAAGAAAAAAAAAAAAAAAAAAAACTGATCTTAAAATATGACAAGCAAAACTGAAGAAAAATTTCTAGTATAAACTTAATCCTTTGAAAATATAGTTTTTCTTTTTTATTACTAATTTTGCTCCATCTTTTTATTGCTTTTTATCAACAACACTGGGTTCAGTCAGTAAGTTATGTGCCATGCGTGATACACGTGTAGACAATCATGAATCTTTCGATACATGACTGATGAGGCAGATTTTTTCTTACAGTATATTACCATTTCTTTCTGCAGTAGACCAGTTGCCATGCAAGGCAATAGAACCCGTTCTGTCCTGCTATTTACCCATAACTAGGGGGAGAAGAGGAGGATTCTTACCTTTCCCAAGGGTATTAGCACGTAAGTGAATGTAATGGATTCGATTGGAATTCAAACTCGGCTCTACAATTCCTCAATCCAAGCCGCTATCCATTACTCCACTGTGCCTCCCCTGGGTTAAGAAACTATAAAACAGAAAGAGGACAGTATTAAAAAAAAAATTAAAATAATTAAAATGTTTTGTGTAAAAATTTCAATAAACTAACTGCCATGTTCCGTGGCAGCAACACCAAGATAATGCAACGAATTGGAAATGAATGGGTTGCAGTATTGAGGCATCCATTGCCAAAGTGAATAAAGTAACATACATGGAAGATATGCTCCCCAGCTGGGTAAGAAGATATGCTCCCCAGCTGGGTAAGAAGATATGCTCCCCAGCTGGGTAAGAAGATATGCTCCCCAGCTGGGTAAGAAGAGTTCTAATCTCAGTGGGTAAGAAGATATGCTCCCCAGGGTAACTGGGTAAGAAGATTGCTGTTTTTATTTTTTTTAAGAAGAGTTCTAATCTCAGTGGGAACTGCTCCTTTATTTTGTTTTTTATCTTGCAATTTGTTTAAGACTATCAACCCAGGATGCAATAGCCATTAAATAATAGTATAACAATGAATAAATAATAATGAATAACTCAGAATGTTATGATATAAAAAAAGACAAAAGTAACAAGATGGAGTAAATCTAGTAATAAAATAATAAAAGTAGTGAAAAAGTTTCATCTAAAAAACTTTTATAAAGCAATTTTTGTCGATAGTTTGTTGGTACTACAAGGTAATCAAAAAAATTTATTATAAATTCATTATAAAAGAAAAAAAAAACGTATACCGCAAATTTGACATATCGTTAGTCCTCAAAGTAACCCCCATCAGTATCCAGAACCTTTTGTGAATGTGCATCCAGCTGCACAATGCCCTGGTGGTAAAAATCAGTTGTGTTGGACACAAAGAAGTCCGATTGCCTACCACAAGTCTGCCTTATTTGTGAAGGATTTTAACCAATGGTGACTCCTACTGCTTCAGAGCTTTTGCACACTTTCCAAGTGCACAACAAGTACAGATGCACAGAGATAGTTTGGTCCATTGGTAGCATAGCTCATAGTGCATCACTTGTTGACTAGTCCACCAAATACAGAGCATGATCTTGCATGGGTATGTAGAGGTGGTCATGTGGTGTGAGGTACACGGCCCCATGGTGACAACCAATGTCTGGCACATTTGGGGGTGTCATACAGGACCCACTTTTCATCACTGGTAAAAACTATCAAATACGGCTACATTGCAATGCCGAGAAAGCAACAAGAAACAGGCTGTCATTTGTTGGTTCTGACAGTGTATGGGGTACCCACTTGTTCAACTTGTACACTTTCCCTATGTGGTACAGTTGAAGTCTGACTATTTCACCACAAACCTGGAAGCATTCAGCAAAAGCTCACTATAGGTTTGCCTGTTGTCCTCCTCTATGGCTACCTTCAGGACCTCATTAATTCCAAATGAGCTGCTTTGATACAGCCAAGTTTCCTTATCAGTGACTGGGCTATTTCTGATTTGTCAAGAGTGATGTCACCACTGCTTTCCCAGCACATGACTCACTAATATATCAGTGATTACTTCTTCCAATAAAATGTAAAAAAAAATATGGTAAGGATTTTTAATGGTTATCTTACATTTACAATTAGTCATTTTTTCAAAGAAAAAAAAAAAAAAAAAAAACATTTTCAAAAAATGCTTAAATTGTTTAATTGAAATCCATATTGTAAAACCTAAGGCATCTATATCTTAAATAGATAAAACCATATTATTATATTTCATTTGTATAAAATTTAAAAGTAAATTTATATTTTTGACAATATCCTATCCTGTTATTCTGCTAGCTTGTATATATTTATACCAAAGATCAGAGTGTAGTATCTGTCTAATACTGGCCTTTGAGCTGGAGTTACATTTTCTGCCAGAGAAACCTATATAATATTAAGCAAGAAGAAATTGGGAAAAGGCAAGATAGAAGGGTGTAAAGAAGAAAAGATAAAAAAGGTGTGATATATATATATATATATATATATATATATATATATATAAATACACAGCAAAAAATTTAAAGGCAGGTGGAGGTGTACTAGAAAATATTTGCTCATTTTTGCTCCTCTTTTTTTCTTTTTGCATATGAAATTAAGTTATTTAGATAAAAAACATGGATAAGCAATAAAGATTAGAAGAGATAAGGGAGAGAATGAGAAAATACAAACATAAAGGTGAGAGAAGAATATGTCTCATAAGTTAAAGGATAATCTTAGTTGTCAACACTTGAGGAATTTTCGCAGGTCCATCAAGTGAAGTAATGCATTTTAATCAGTTATTAGATGTTTAAATTTAAAAACATTGTTAATTAAAAAGGTTTGGAATTTATCACATAATTTTAAAAAATATATAAAAAGAATTATTTAAAAGCAAAATAAATCCAAAGAAAAAGCTCACCTCATCAAAGTTGTCGTCCCAGGGTTCAGCAGTTATCACAAAGTCAACTTTTTCATTCATGTAATCTTCTAGTTCTCTAGAGTGAGAGAGAGAGAGAGAGAATTATATTGTGGGTTCTTATTTATATTTGGATTATGACAAAAATAAAAAGACAAAAAAAAAAAAAAAAAAAAAAAAAAAAAAAAGACAAACAAGAAGAAGACAAACAAGAAGAAGACAAACAAGAAGAAGACAAACAAGAAGAAGACAAACAAGACAAAAAAGAAGAAGACAAACAAGACAAAAAAGAAGAAGACAAACAAGACAAAAAAGAAGAAGACAAACAAGACAAAAAAGAAGAAGACAAACAAGACAAAAAAGAAGACAAACAAGACAAAAAAAAAATTTTTCACATTTGGTTTAACTTTTATTCACCTCTTTGCAAAATTATTTTAAAACTATTTCAATTCTCTGAAAGAGTGCAAAAGGTACATTTTCCAGTTCTTTGATAAAAATGTGGGGAAGTCTTAATAAAGTTACTTGGAAAGATAGTGAAACAGTATCCCCCCCCGACTTCCCAGGCTGTTTTCCCACTTCCATGTTGCTCCTGACCTCTATGTATGGTTTGGTTTGGTTTGGTTTACGGCATATCACCCTCAATGGGTCATTTAATGCCGACAACTTTTTTTTTCCTTGTAATATTTTTGCTTTGTCAAAAATCTATTTCTGTTAATATTTTTTCTCAAAAATGTATAGCTGTTAATATTATTTTTTCAAAAATGTATAGCTGGTAATACTATTTTTCCAAAAACATTATCAGAGGCCTTGCTGTTAGATGTAGTTTATTGTCATACCCAGGACGCAGATATAGTCTGAGTGTTAACTATTTGCCCATAGCTGGGACCCTAACAGGTGCTACCACCCAGGGACACGGTGGACCTGGGAACACCAGCAATTAAGAGGTGGTTCCACACTCCTCAAAACCTCCCGATCAGAGGCCTTGCTGTTGGATGTAGTTTATCGTCATACCCAGGACACTATGTATGTAATTTGAAAATCCACACAGGTCAGTATATTTTGTCAAGTCATTGTTATTATTATTAGATTTTTACATGAAAATATCCATAGTACCCATCATATGATTGAATATCCCTATGCATGGATCAGCACTTTTCCCTAATTTAGTATTTAAATTTTACTTTGCTATTCAAGCTTACTATTAAGACAGGACTTGACACTGTCGATAAAACATTGTTACTACATTATGATCCTGAGATAATCAGCAGTCCATGCAGTGGCAACACTGATTCTTCAACAATCAGCAGGAACAGTAATGACCATGGGTTTTAGGGATAAGAAGGTATTTTGAAGAGCTGACCAATTAATGCAAAATAATTGTGGTGCCAATTAAAGTAGGTGTTGAAAGAAAAAAAAAAAAAACAACTGGACAATGTTTATACATTGTCTTATCAGCCCTGTGGATGTATTTTGAAAAATGTGTGGTTTGAATGCAAAGACCATCCGTCATCAGATCTTGCTACATTCAATTATTTCTAAACTTTAATGAGTTTGAAAATGAGGAAATTTTCAGAACAGCAAAGCAGTATCTCAATGAAAGAAAATTAGAATTTCTTTAGGCAAAATCTTTAGAAACACTGTTGAATTGCAGAGCAAATATGTGGAATTGTATGTTTTATAACTCGGGGTCATTCCTATGATGGTTGAGACAAGAATTTTAACACACCCTTGTATAAATTATCTTGAATTAAAAAGAAACATAGCAACATGAATAACTTGTCCTTTTTAAAATGAGAAAACCAAAAAAAGTGGAGATGATGAGGAAATCATTCAGTAAAAATAAATAAAACAAGAAAATATTATAGTTAGTGTAGAAATTACATTTTCTGACACCAAAAAAAACCCACTTCCATTTCAGCAGGAAATATTTTAAGTGTATTTTACAGTACGTTTTACCTTTGTTTATAAGGCAGAGAATGTTTGAGTCATTTTTGTTGGTGGAGAAAAAAAAGAGGAAAAAACAGAAAGGGCGGAAAAACAGAAGTGGGGGGGAACATTTATATTCCATCAAATAGAGCACATTTTTCAGGCTTTGATTCTAAAAAGAAACAAAACTAATGCAAAAAGAAAAAAAAAAAAAAAAAAAAAAAAGTGCAACATACACTAAGTTTTACTAGCCTCACCAAAACTTAAACTCTTCATACTCACCCGTTATAAGCAACAATGTAACGAGTGAGATTGTGTCGTTCTTTTTCACTCAGTTCTCCATAAAGGAAAAAATGTTTCCCTGCCAGAAAATCTGGAAGTTCTGGCAATTCCCCATCTGAACCACTGTCTTCATCCACATCAGTTGCAATATCATATGCATCATCTTCATTCATTGATTGTTCCAAAGGCAATGTGCTGTCTCCTAAACTTGATGAGGAAGGAACAGAATCATAGTTTTTACCAGGGGACTTCTTTTTTGCATCAGCTTCTTTTATCCTGAAAAATTAAAAACAAAGAACTAAATATAAATAAAAAATGAAGAGCATAAAAATTGAATTGCAAATAATTATTTTAATTTAGATTTTATTACATTTTAGGTCACATAAAACACATTTCACTAAACTATCATTAAACATCTTTTGCTTCCTAAACTGATGGTTAGTCTGCCTGAAGCACCAAACCCCAAAACCAATATAATTACCATGTCACTTCACACTGAAATGGGGAAAAATATCAAAAAATTTTCATAACAGTTTACTATAAAAATGACTATGAATTTGATATCTTAAGTTCCCAATATTATTAGGTTTTCATATCCAAATCATTATTGTGTGGTACCATCTTGCCAATGGGTAATTTTAAGTGCCTAATTACCCTGTCCTCTCTGGGATCTATAAGTAAAAAGCGCACTGTAGACGAGTTATGCACATTTAGGACGTTTCGTTTAGCTGGAGAGTTTTGCGGATGATATATGCAATTCTGTACAAAGTAATATTTTGTAGCTCAGAGATGCTGATGTGTCCAGGAATTTCACCAACGTGATTTTCAGGGTCCTGTCAACAACTTATATAAATTAGTTGGCAGTCTTTTGTGATGATTTTTGGTCTATTTGTATCAATTTTCCTGTCTGTGAGGATTGGGAAATTCCGCAGTATAGTCATTCCATCACCATTTGTGACCTCATTTGGGTGGTGTTTGTACCATATATCCAGGACTTCAATACCATAGTTCAAACAGACATGCCAATGAATATATTGCCCTAGCAACGATAATGTATTCTTTCTCAGAAAGGACAAGGCAGCCTGATACTATGTGACCAACAGTTTCATCAAATTTATGGCATAAACAACAGACAATTTGAGCCATCTTTGTTGATTTAAGCCTTGCAGGCATTAGTTGGAAAACATTGATCTTGTATTGTCATAAGGTCTTCTGTCTCCCTTTTAAGGCCATTGCTTTTAAGCCATTGATAAGTTTGGCAAACATCAATGTCTCATTCATTCAGGATGTATGTCATCTTGAGTATCTGTTACATCTAAGAGTTTCATATTTCTTGATTTTGTTTAATGACGGGAGTATTCTTAGCACTCTCCTGCTTGAGTTCAGCCTTCAGATACTTATCTGGTATCATTTCTAAGTATTTTACTAGATGATGCTTTAAAAGGTGTTTCTAATTGAATGAATCCATGTCCACCAGCTTTCCTTGGGAGGTATATTCTATCAACATCAGTTTTAAGGTGGCACATACAATGTTCAGTTAGTAGCTTACATATTTGGAATCAGTTTATACTATATCACTAAAGCTCCATTTTATAATGCCAAAGCTGTAGTTAACAACGGGTATTTCCAATGAATATATTGTGTCCATTCTGTTCAATGGATTCAATTCTTACTGAAGTACCAAATGCACTTCATGGTAGCATTCTTTTAATTTTTCCTTCATTTTTGAGTGTTGTATATTGCCATTTCTTGTTGTAGGTTCCTGATGGAGGTGTTGACATCTAGCAATGGTTAATGTGGTGGTTTATGGTATGTTTGTAGATTCTGTAGCACCTGGTTTGAATCATTGAGCAATATGGGCAGAGGTGAAAAGAGTAAGACAAAAGAGGAATAGTGAAAGGGAATCTCCTTAATATATCTTGTGGTTAATGCTTATATTATATTTTAATATCACCATTTGTGTGGTGAAGCATGTGGAATGTCATCAACGCCAGAACCCTGGTCTTAATAAATCCAATAATTTGGGGTTAAATTTCGAAGATCTATAGAGCTTTAAAGATCCAGTTATGAGGGACACTATCAAAAGCTTTTTTCTAATCTATCCTAGTAGTACTTAGTTTCCTAGATGAATTCTTATAATTTTCTAGTATCATCTTGTTAATCAGAAGTTGATCCTTGCATCCATGAGATTCATTTTTGCATCCCTTTTGTTCTTCAGTGGGGGGGAAAAAAAGGTCATTTTTTTTTTTCCAGGAATAATAAGGATAAGTTCTGTTGGTGATTATTGATCAGGAGTTTGTAGGTAGCATGGAGTCATGTAATAGGCCTGTAATTTGGGGAAATCTCTGTACGTTTGATAAGCTGGGAAGCTTAAGGCTTTACTTAACCATAAGAGTGAGGTCTCAGGATTATTCATGATCTTAGAGTAGATATTGGCCATTGCATTTGGAATACTGGGTAGAGAGTAAAGCCAAAAATTGAGAATTTTGTCTATCACAGGTGGTTTCCACTTTGCTGATTTAACTTCCTCTGCGGTGATGTCTAACCAATCTTGTGTTTCAACAGTATTGGTCATAGATTCTTGGTCATCTATTCAGTGTGCTTCTGTATTAAAGCTTCCATGTTTGCCACAGATGTTTTTCCAAAAGTTTTCTATTGAATCATATGTTGGGCAGGTTGTCAACTTTAATGTTACTCTTAAATGCTCTGTAGAATTTCTTGGTATCTTCTTTAAAAAGTTTGTCATGTTTATGGAAGGCAGTTTGTTTCTTATATCTTGTCAAATGTTTGGCCTTTAGCTGAAGTTTTTGCTTAAGGATTTCAATTTGAATATCAATGTTATCTCTGGACAGGTTATATTTTGTGATGATTCTCTTAAGTTTATTCCCATTTGACGTTTTCTTCGATTTGTTTTCTGTTAATAAAGAGGTAACAGTTCTTAGTTACTTCATTTGCCCGTTTCATCTTTCAATCCACATTGGCTTTTTATGGACATTCCTTTTTGTTTCTGCTTTCTTGACTTTCAGTCCACATTCTCGAGTTGCTATGGATGCAGCAAAATATCTTAGGTTATTTACAGCAACCAGTTTATCTTCATGGTTTGCAAGTAAGGTCAGGATGAGTTTTACAACAGATTTATTTACCTTTAATATTACCACTTTATTTTTCTTGTTTTTTTTTATCTTTGGTAGGGATGGTCTGTCATATAATGTTTAGCAAGTGATGATTAGGTAATGGTCAAGAATTTCTTTCAATAAAGTGTCATCATGGTGGTATCTCTTCAATAACCTCTTGATGTGCTTTTGCCTGAATCACAGAAATTTCAGGTGTGGCAGTTAGAAGTTGTTAGAAGATGATTAGTCAGTTTATGAGAAGCAGAAGTAGATTGGTTTGTGAATACATTTGGCTGATTAGCTATGACTCCACTGAGCATTTAATCTGAGTAATACTTTGCGTTTTCAAGATGTCACATTTTAATTCTGATAGTTTATTCTTGTCCAGAGACGGTCTGGATTTCTTGTTTTCCATATGTTCTAAGTTTCTTTTTCACTGGTTGTTATATTCGGGTGTAATGTTGCAAAACAATATGCATAAATAACTTTCACATATTCCTCCTTTGTCTATTTTACTTTGTTGGGGGGGTGATGATGGTTGAACAGGTGTATCAGATTTGGGGACATCACTGGTTTGATTTGCAGCAGGTTCTTGGGAAGGTTGGGGCTGGTTTGTTGACTTATCGAAATCTGTGCCAGATCCAGTTGTTTTCACCAGGCAATGCATTTTATAAACAAAAGTTTGGTTAGTTTGAGAGCAAGCATTCATGAATAGCATCCAGGATGTAATTGCTAATGTCCACCCAAAGTTGCCTGGCTTTTTTTTTTCTTTTTTTTAAATGTTTCACCCCAACCAAGGCAGGAAGCCACTAGCACGCAAGGGGTTACAGAGAGTTGGAGCAAGAGCAAATAGGAGCGATAGAGGAAAGGATGAAGAGAAGGATAGGAGATAGATCAAGGCATCTGGAGACGTCGATTGACATTACATTTGAATAGTTGGAGACTATAGCTATCAGGGAAACAGGAAAAGGAGAGGGAGTTCCACAGGCGAGAGGTGCGAGACATTAAGCTATTGGAGTAGAAAAGACAGCTACATTTAACAGTTTCAACAGTGAAAGGGTAAGGCTTTTAGTATTCAGGGTGTTGCCACTTTCCTGAAGATCTGTTCATAACACTTTCACCCAGGTGCCATCTCCCAACACATAATTAGGGGTTTGATGGAGTTTTCCATTTCGTTTAACATTAGGACTTCAAATTCCAAATAAAAATGATGTATCTTTCTGAGGCTCATGAGAAACTCAAAATGATTAATATCTTTACATATCTATTCATTTACTTTTCTTTATTGCCCATTTTTTTGTCTTTGCTAATGATGTTATTCTGGTTATTTCTAATATCAATTTAACTTTTCACCAAAAATTCTTCTAAATAAATCCTTTTAATTTCTCTTTATTGAAATAATTTTGTTGTAGATATTATTATCATTATTGTTGTTTTTGCTGGTGGTGGTGCATTTTACTCTTTCAACATCTTTGAATAGTCCAAAGACAAAGTCACCTGATGCCACTAGTGCAAGAGAGATAACTAATGAGGTGAAAGTTAGACAAAAATATACTATTTTTATTTAAAAAAGAAAAAAAAAAAAAGTAAAGAATATTTTTCATATTTGAATGCTAAGAGCTGCTCCTAGCCACCACCACCTTCACAAACAGAAATCATTTCTCACAGAGAATGACTCAATATTTTTTTCTGAAATCTTTCAGTGTAATGTGTCATGAAAATAAATACTAAATGTTTATTTTTTCCTTTGGCACTTGGTGCTTCAAGTTCACTAACCTAGTTTATATATAGATTCATTTATCTCTGAATTTAATTGATTTCTATATACTTATTCAATCAGTTATTACGAGCCGTTTATATAATCCAAGAGATCACAGGTAGGACATGTTGAACACTAACATCAAAACTTTCATTCACTAATTGTTACACACCTAACAAAACAAATACTAAAAGCGTATATATAGAAATTCATTGCAAATGATTTTATTATAAACATTAGAAATCATTTTTAAATGTAGCTTCTTTTACAATCTGTAATATTATAGATTGTATTTATTAAATAGCTATGTTAAAATTTTTATTCTCTTAAGGAGTGCATATCACTTGAAGGAATTTCTGATTGTAAGAAAGAAAAAAGTTTCAGCATCAACCTGTATACTGTGCCTTGAAAATAGAGATAAAAATTAATACCAGAGCTTGGGAATTACTGTAAGCATTACTGACAGACAGAATAAGGCTAATTTATGGAATGTCAGAATGGAAAAATGGCAAAAGCCCTAAGATATTATCACAGGACCATGAGATTATATGCAACCATCCAAATAAATTTATATTTTTCCTACAACTGATGTACAGACTGATTTTAAGAAGATTTTCTCTTACACTTTATTATTGATAGACACACACAGTCAACTAGACAGGCTGGTGACGAAAGAGGGAAAACTATTAATGCAGGCCCAACATTATTTATAAATTACATTTATATGTAGTTTCCTCTGTTCAAGAGTGAACCTACCGTCTAACCTCATCATCAGTATCATCCTCTGACTGTTCATCTGATTGACTCTCATCTGGGGGAATAAAAACAAAAATGGATGACTTCGAGAGGGAACAAAGTTGTCAATTATATTGCTTACCATTTATGACATACATAAACACACACACAGGGCATAACAGCAAAAATGTCCAATTGTTAGATTAAGCTTTGAATCATTGTATCTTAGAAATGATTAAAGATATCCCACTGGAATTTTTCAAGGTTTTTATAACACTATTGGACTCTACTTTAAGCAATAAGAATGTATAATTACTCTCCAAGCTTAACAGAAGAATCATAATAAATGAAAATGACATGTTCATCATTAATTAATCATAGCTAATGATTGGAAGCTCATGAAGGATTTGAAATAAAGTTCACACACACATTATATATATATATATATATATATATATATAAGGATCATTTTTCAACTTATTCAAAATGATCTTCCCTCTCTCTAACATTCTAACTTTCTGTCCTGGAGTAACAAGGTGCCCCACAGGTTTCACGTACAATTTCATTTTCAAGCCTTTTTTCACTGATCTTTGAACAGTCATTGCTGAAACTTGTCTCTCGTGCCAAACATCTCATGGATTGAGTTGGCTCTTTTCTAATTTATCTCTTTAGCTCTAAGTTGTAATGATGATCACTCTTCCAGTTGTAACCTCCAGATCTAGTTTTCCTCTCCAATGTTTCCTCTTTTTTAAACTTATTCACCATTCTCTGGATAGTTCTCGAATGGATTTGAAGATGGAACCCAGAGTATGAATGTTGGTACCATTATTGAAGATTTGAATGACCTTTTTCCTCTCACCATTGCTCAATTGTGAAGATATAGTGAGGCTGACACTAAACGATTTAACATGTTTTCTTTCTAGCTGAATAACTCAAAGGATTTTTCAGTGATTCTTGAAATCATGTCAAGATGGCTAAACATCTTTTCTAAAAACCTGGAAAAAAAGAAATTCAATTAGTTTAGTGGGGTTTTTTTTGTTTTTTTTTAAAGATATTAAACATTTTGTGGGATGGACAATTATGCTGTAACATGATTTGAACAATTTTGCTATTACACCTATATATATATATATATATATATATATATATATATATATATATATATATATATATATATATATATATTTTTACTGAAAAAAAAAAAAAATTTACGGTTATATATAAGTAATTTTCCAGTGTTGTGTAAACTATTTTTTAACAAATATTCTGGATTTTTTAATCAATACAATTAATTCTATTATTGCATATAAGAATGATGAAATAAAGCTGGCCAAGTTAGCTGAAAAGCTTATAGAATTTGAACCATGTGCATGAATAAAAATACAGGCTTTCGACACGACTCTTTGTGAAATTGTTGTATACATGCTTAGATGGACTAAGAGGAAACTAATAATTACTCTAGACAATATTTTCGTAGTCAAATTCTCCAAACTTTTATGTAATACTTCTCTCACACACATTAAGAAACAAAAAGTAAAACTACATAACTAAGCAAAACTACTTGAAGAAAGAGAAAGAAAAAATATCTGAAGTGAGTTTTTATAAAAAGTAAAGTAAAAAAAAAAATTTTTTTTAAAAAATTGGCTTCAACAGTTTATTTAAAACATCTGCCATAGTGACAATTGGTAGCACCAAGGTAAGAGCTTCAATAAGATAATAGCCAAATTCTATGAGAAGAACAAACCAATCAGAGACGAGGTTCTTGTGTGAAAGTTTCCCCCAAAGATGAAGAAAAAGAAAATTTCCACAGAACTTAGTGAGAAGAAAAGAAGAAAAAAATCAACAATATAAAATGGCCAATTTAGTTTGATAAATTAATCTGAAAAATTCAAGTAGCACCATCAATGATTTTTGTTGTTTTCTTCAGAGACAATGTTTTAAGGGGAAAAAGAAAGCATGACATCAAGAAAATTAAACAGTATCACATTGATATTGGGTTGGAATAAAAGTCTGTAGCATTTTTCAATAGGTGGCATTTTATAGATGTGATTTCATTTCACACGTGACTGTAATTTTTAGCATGTATAAATATTCTGTAAGATGACATTTTAATGCAGATTTCTTCAATATGATTCATGTGTGGATTGTGAAAATTTTTTTTTTTTATGTTAAAAGTGAAAAATGGAGGAAAATAAGATGCATTTTCATCACTTCATAGTCTTTCTGGGAGGGAAGAAAATACTGTACAACCAGCAAAAAAAGAAAAAAAAAGAAATGTGCCATTTATATAAATGGTCCCATAGTTGAGAGTACTGTTTGTAAGTGCTTCACATGTTTCAGTAATGGAAATTGATTTAGAAGGCTGAGAACATTCCAGTCGGTCTACAGTTGAGTATGACCAAATCAAAATGCTAATTAAAAATAATCTAGGTTACATGACACAGGACATTGTAAAGATACTCCAGATATATCTCATGAGCATTGAAATGTAGTTAAAAGACACATGGATATGTGAATCACTGTTTGAACAATTTATAATTTAACAAAAATTTTAGCAAAATGAAATTTCATGAATTGCATTTTTTTTCTGCAATTCTCAACTCAAAATAACCAAATAACCCATTCTTGAAAAGAATGACCACAGTTGATGAAAACTGGGTTGTTTACAGCAATGTGGGGCAAAAAAAAAACGTCCTGGGAAAATTAAATGAGCCACTGTCAACTACCTGAAGAAGGTGATGCTGCACATTTGGTCGGATTGGAAGGGTATTGTGCATTATGACCATTCTGTAAAATCAAATGTTTAATTCAGACAAGATCTGTTCCCAGTTGAATCGATAAAATGTGTCTGGAATTGGCTAATTAGCATGGTGCTGTTATCCATCAGGACAGCACCAGTGTAACTTCTCTTTACACACCTGATAGAAATTGATATAATGTGGCTGGGATATCCTACCAAAACCACTGTATTCAAATGACTTTGTATCTTCGGATTGCAACTTATTTCAATCCCTACAAAATTCACTTAATTGAAAGAACTTCAATTCTTTGGGTACCTGTAAAAACCACAGACTATTTTATTTTTCAGTAAAATGCCAAGTTGAGGCTTCCTCAAAGATGGTGAAAGGTAGTGGAACAAATTAGCACATATGTGATTGAATAAATCTATATACAAATATCTGTATATTGCTTTAAAAATATGCTATAAGCTTTTCTTCCAACCCATATATTGATATTTGCACTATAAAGGACAGAATGAGTTGGCTTGATTGATTTATTTACTACAGCTTATCAATCTGTTACAGGTTATTTAAAGCTAGAAAATGTTTTTAGCTTGTAAGAATTTTTTTTGGAGATAATGTTTTTAGTGATACAAATTCTACTAATTAACCCATAGCTGGAGGAGAAGTGGATTCATACCTTTCCCAAGGGTATTCATGCATAAGTGAATATAATGAACCCAATGAGAATTGGAACTCAGCTCTCTGATTAACAAGCCATTATCCATTACACCACCCTCACAACCAAGCTTACAATACCTCGTATTTGCAAGCAGTCACCCATCTAGGTACTAACCAGGCTAGATGCTCCTTAACTTCAGTAATCATACAGTAACAGAATGAGTTAATAAAAAGTAAGAAAGCAATGAAACACAGTCCACACCAAAGTGTGTTGCAGGATAATATTCAACAGAATCTCCATCAAATAACACATTCATCTGAAAATGGGAGGTAAAGAATGGACCAACTGAAATATTCAGAAAACAGCAAAAGTAATGGAAATTCCCTAAAATTTCAAAAATCTTATATGCAAAGGTAAAGTCTTGCAAACATTTAAGAATCTATATAGCCTAAGAGTGACAAAAAACATTTTGCATAAATATTTTTCAACATAATCTCCTTTCTTCTTAATTCATTGGTGAATAACATAGATTGAATATAGTGAAAGTTTCAAATCAAAATCCAGCTCTTCACTATACCAGGCTACAGATTTATTGATCAACCTTGTTGAACAAATCTTTTTTTTTCCCCCTTAATATTTCCTGCTAAATTAAGAATGCTTCTGACACAACTACACATCCTACGTATCATTAAATATAAAGGGTAGGTGGGTTTTTTTTATAAATCCATGAGTCACAAACTATAAGTTTGGAAAACATTTTTGATTCTTGGCTAACTGACTCAGAGACTTCCTCCTGTCACCTCAATGTCCACAATCTGTCAATGTTCCAGTTGCAAACTTTTAATAACATTCAAGACTGAACAAAACAGGAGCAATATTTATTTCAATAAAAAAAAAAAAATAGGTATTATAATAAACTTTGTTATTTTATAATCAATTTCTAAAATAATTTATATATTTTACTATTTTATTTATTGTTTGATTTAATTTTTTCTTTGTCCATTTCATTATGTACACCTAAAATCTTACAGCAGCCCAGTTTCTTAATTTCTCTACACAATTCATTAACTTTACTATCATAAGTTAATTGACTACTCATGGAATCATTTATGATTATATATAATTAAAAAAAAAAGTCATTCAATAGCAATAAATAAGACTCAATGTCAAAACTTCCAAAAACTTGTATTTTAGTCAAGAACCAGAGTTGCCCAATTGGGCTGCTTTTGAAAGTCTATTGCTACTAAATTTTGAGACTTGTCTTTTTGAACTACTTATTAATATAAACTGGGCTAACTTGGTTTACTGCTAAAAAGAAAGCCAATTCAAAATTTACTAGTACTGGGTTTTCAGTTATTACCCAAATCTGGCTACCCTGAGCTCAGAATAATTTTGTGTCACATTTTCCAAAAATTACACAAAGTAGCAAAAGTGCAAAACCAAAGGAAATGGAAAATTTAAATCAGAAATGTCTTTGGTCAACTTGTTGGAAATTATTAAAGATAAGTATCTTTTTGTATCATACTGTAAATAAAATTAGACTTGCTGAAATAAATTCTGAAATTTAGTATTATTTTAATACTAATTAAATACATTTTTACATTCAATTTCAAAATTGTAAACTGAAGTCAGTGTAAAATGTGAACAGTGTTCTGCCAGTAATACTAAAATTTC